ACATAGCTGCTGGTAGTTATCCAGGTTTGTCATACTTTTCAATGATACTTTCATTATCAAGTTGTTTTTATTTTTTTGCCCTAAGTTTAGCTTGAGCTTCTGCATAACGTTTAAGTTTTTCTAGCCTTTTTTCATTTACTTTAATAATCACACGATCTGCTTCAATTTTGACTGATAATTTATCTTTTAAATTTTAGTCACTGATAGTTCTGATTGCTTGTTCACATTCAAATACCCATTGAGTTGCTTCCTTGATTTTAGCTATTGTATTTCGTTGGCCTACTGCATTTTTCGCAATAGTATTAGTATTATCAAATTGTTGTAGTAAAATTACTGATGAAATGGATGAGGATGAAGCTACCATGGATGTAGATGCTCTGTTGGAGTTGGTGTTTACTATAAAGTTACATTGTGTACGAATTGTGCTAGAAACTGTAGTTAAGTATGATTGAATCTTTTCACAAATAACTGCTTCATTTTCATTTTTTATTTCCTTCTATGCTGCTTGGGCTTCACTTAATAATTTTTATTTATTAGAGTTAGGGTTGCAAAGGGTTGCCTGCTTATAATAGGTGTAAGCATTAGTAAATTTTTGGTACAAATCAGATAAAGGTTTATAAAATAAGTGTTTATTAAAATTGGAAAGTTTTAAAAAACTTTGCATTTTTCTTTTTTTTCAGATGAAAAATCTAACTTATATAACTCAGGATTTTATTTCTATCTGAGGTGATTCGAATTCAAAGATATTTTATTAAATTTAGATAGAGATTTGAAACCTTATTTATTAAAGTTTCTTTTTATATACAAGTATTTTAGGATTATGGTGAATTACAACAATTGTGATATTTTAAGTCTTAATCAATTCAAATTTAGGAATTGCTATTTTTCTTTTGATATTTACATTCCTTGATAAGTAGAATTATCATTCTGTTTAACTTTGTTGGGTATAGAGATGCAATCTGTCATCTATTTTCAGCCCAAATTAATCTTAATTTGGGCCAAAAATTGATAATAGATTGCATTCTCTAGTCGGGTGGCCAAAAAAAAAAGTTGAAATATGATATTATAATATAATGTTAAGTTTATAGCAATGGTGTATATATGCTGTATATGTATATACATACATACTTATATATACCTACCAGATCCACAGTACTATTTTTTGATCATATTGTTAAATGTTTATGTTGCCCAACTTGGTTGGGTGATCAAAAAAATTAAACATTGTATCATAATGTATTGTTTTTTTTTTTCACTTTAATAACCTTGCACAAATTTATTAGATGTATATAAGCTTAAACTAGCTAGACTATCTAAAATCATATTCAGCTAATATCTAGCTGCTATAAAAGTGCCCAAGTACAGTTATTGCACTGATATTAGCCAACAAATCCTACATGCGCTGCTACATGCATTTAAAAACTTGCTATAACCTGGTACTTAGCTACCTTTGGCCTTCAACTTTTTCTACCTAAGTCTTTGCAAAATAGTTTATCTCTTACACTTTAATAAAAAAAGAAAATATATGCCAAATTTATGAAAGAAAATTACAGGTATAAAACCAGACAAAAAGAAAAGAAACAAATTTTCTAACTTGAGTTTAATCATAAATGAACAGAGATGAAACTAGCAAAAGCCAAAAAAAAAAAAAACAAATAAACAGAAAGAAAGGAGCAAAAAGAAAAAGAAAATATACACTATTAAGCCTGTATATGAGACTAAAAAATTATATACTAAATGCAACACTCGTATATCTCTGTTGTAAAGCTTTGTCTTAATGTAAAAACTTCTT